TGGCCTGGGTCAGACAGGCACCTGGAAAAGCACTGGCGTGGGTTGCAAGCCATTATAACAGTGCTAACATCCACTACTCTCAGTCAGTCCAAGGACGATTCACCATCTCCAGAGACAACAGCAGACAGCAGCTGTATCTGCAGATGAACAGTCTGAAGACTGAAGATTCTGCTGTTTATTATTGTGCTCGAGAGTCACAGTGACTGAAGTTGTTTGAGCAGCTGTACAAAATCCTGCAGTCATTATTGTACTTCATTTATTTTGCATGGCAATTATAGTATAATGAGGATTTTACTAATGCTACCAAGAAGTTCATATTGCTTCTTTACAGTACTTTCAGCCATGGTCTCCTCCAGTGGCATCATGTAAACGATCTCATTATCAGAGGTACCCACAGTTCAGATGGTGTGGTGATTAGATGGTGGTGAGTTAATAAGCAGTTGTTCATATGTGTGGAGATCATTTCAGGCCTCATCAGATTTTCCAGCTGTTTAAAGGTATTTTCTCAGGATTTTAGTATTATTATATTTTCAGTAATCTATGTACAGTACAGTAGACAGTATAGTACAGTGCTCTGCAAAGTTCTTGAGATACTTCTCATTTCTTCATGTTTTGCTTCCAATGAGCCACATGTTCTTCATTTTCCTTCTTAACTTTATTGATTTTCAAAATGCATTTGCTTATAGGAGTTAAGGAGTTTATGAAAAAAAAAGAAAACAAAAATCATTTTAAACCAGAGAATATTATGAATACAAAAAAGAAGTAGAGAAAATTCACATATTTTCAATCTGTATTCAGTTTGTCGATTTCATTATTAAATTTTTGAATTGCAGATGTACAGTCCCTTTGTTCAAATGGACATAATGCATTTCTTCATAACTGTGATGTATAAGAGGACAGAAGAGCTCACATTGGTTCAGTTCAACTTCATTATCAACCATGTTCTCTGTAGCTCACACTGCTGCTGGCTTTGTCATCATGTGAGACGCTTTGGTCAATTCACGCTACTGAATACAACAGAAATCCTAAATAATTAAATAAATCATTTAGATTGGATCAGACAAGTTGAAGAAAAACCACTGGAATGGATTTTCTACATATGGTTTAGTGGGGGCACTTACCAAAATGATGCTTTAAAAAGCAAGTTCAGCATCAGCAGAGACACTTCTGCTCAAACAGTTACAATAACAGGACAGCATCTGCAGCCTGAGGACACAGCTGTTTATTACTGTGCACGTTACAGTAATACAAACCACTTACGGACCTGTGCAAATACTCAGCAACCAGCAACACACAACCACACACATGCTGTAATTGTGAATCTGTAATGAGAGCATGAGATACAAAGCTTGTTGAGTATTGTATTTTTCAGCCAATATCACAACTCTATTTTTTTCACTTAATTTTAATCATATGCGGTACAAGACAGGGATGCTGCTTTTAACTTGTTTTTGTCTTGATATAGTTTCCAAGTTAAAGCAAATTTGTTTTCTTTTCTTTTATAAATTGAAAAGTGCTTACAGTCAGACTCTGATTCAGAACCCATAAAAGGCCTTGAGAACTGGCTTCTGAAAAAATATCAAAATATGATGCTGCTATTCTACCGCCAATCATGGCCAACGGATTCACATTCAGTAAATCTTGGATGGAAGAACTGAAGTGGTTTGCTGCTGTTACATGTGACAGTGATTACACCAATTATCAGCTCTTACAAGGTGAAGCCAAAGGTTGAAGCCAAAGGTTGAACCCAGGGTGCGGATTCACAAACACGAGTTTGAAGTAAATGCAGTCTTTATATACAGTAGCCGTGTATTTAAACAGACAGAAATAACACAGACTTCTCTGGAAAAATCTGAAACGGGGAGACCGGGAGGGGGCTGGCAGGCAGGATGACAGTGGCGCCCAAACAACTGAGGCAGTGAAATGTCTGAGAACAGGCACTGAAGATCACACACAGATAGCTTAACAGGAAGCTTGGAATAAAGATGGTAAATAATGGATTGGGGAGACAAGTGTTACCACAGAGGTACAATGTGGTGGAATTTGCCTCTTAAGAAATGCTGAACTGATGAAAGCAATCCAGAACAGTTGAGGTCCTCATCTGAGGCAGCTCCACCCTGGTAACGCCTGCTTACGGAACAAAACACAAAGGACAAAACAATAACACATAACCCAGCCTGCTCATACCCTAACAGAGCTGACTCTTGCTCACAAAAATAACACAATTCAGAGATGTAAAACTGTTTGAATTCTAAAATCACTGTTTAGGGTGAAAACTAATGTTTCCATTTTCTGGAACACTGGAGGGAAGTCATAGTGAAGTCTCACCCTTTAGATAACAGCTAGATGAGCAGACTGCGAATTTAGCTGTGATTGCAAAAAAGTTAGGTACAGTTAAGTACATCTTCAATTTTTTTCTCCAATGTCTCTTGCGGAACTCAGTGTTCCTGTTAGCTGTCATTTTGGGGCAATACATTTTGTTTCCAGCAGACAAACAGAAACTTTGCTTTCGGTGATTTTTCACTGTCAATTAAAGATTAAGTTTGGGTTTTTTTTTTTTTGTTAATGCACTTGCTAGTACAAATAATGTCCAATTTTAAGTAACTTTCAAGTGTTATATCATGTACCTTTTTTATTATTTGATTTCTGTGCTGTGTTTTATTGTAGGTGACAGAACGAAGGATGTTATTAATCACAGTGTGATTTTCTACTAGTAAAACTAGGAGGTAATGCAAAACTCAGACGTCTTTCACTTCTATGTATTTGACTCTAGAGACAGAATGTGACAAAATGTGATCAGTAGTCACATTTTGGTATGATGGACTGTAGAATTGTTGTTTTTCACTCCCTGCTGGGCAGATGAAGGTTTTCACTAGTATTTAGTGGTTTTTGTTGTGCCCTTAAACGGGAGAAATATTGAGGAAAGATGAATGAAGACACTGAAACGCAGCTCTCGCCTTCACTTGTCTGTACAGATTGACTGCCCTTCATTGAACAGCTCACAATCAGCCAAGGCCAAACTCTTGCCACTTATTTCCTTTTAGATTCCCACTGCATTTTCTCTACAGAAACACAGTCAAAACAACAATGAAGTTATTTTATTAGATATAAAGAACCAAAGTTCTTACTCAGAAAGGAATTACATTTCTAATCCACTACATTTTGTCTTAAAAAATACAACTTACTTTATAACTGTGTTATTTCCTTTTTCTTTGTTTTTTTTCTTTCTCTTAATTTATCTGATATGTTTTGATGATTAGACTTTGACTGAGTCTGAACCAGTGGTTAAAAGGCCTGAAGAATCCCACAGACTGACTTGTACAGCCTCTGGATTCACATTTAGTGACTACCAGATGATTTGTGTCAGACAGGTTCCTGAGTTGTAATAATCAGATATGATAGTGCTATCATCTATTAGTCTCAGTCAGCCCGAGGCCGGTTTACCATCTCCAGAGACAACAGCAGACAGCAGGTGTGTCTGCAGATGAACAACTGGAAAATTCTGCTGTTCATTATTGTGCTCGAGCGCCGCAGTGCCTGAAGCTGCTTGAACAGCTTTGCATGATTCTAATTACAGTTTATGTATTTAACATCTTAATTTTAATGTAATGAGGATATTACTAAAACTAATGTTATTGTTACTAATACTATTAAGGTGTCTCTTCTGGACTTGTCTGAGAAGTTCTGGAAGTTCTTTTTTTTCAGTTCTTTCAGCTTTCAACTATCTGCTGGCGAGGTAAAGCTAAATGACCTTTAATTATCAGTAAAATGCTGCAAAATGAATGAAACTGACTGTTTCCATGTCCAGCTGTGACAACTTTTCCACCCAGAAGAAAAGAAACAAAACTACAACACACTCATCAAACTTATCATTTCATCTGTAGTAATCTTGAAAGAGGGAGTTCATTTTATTATCTCCTTTCTTATGGAATTCTTCTCACTGACACTCGCACACACACACACACACACACACACACACACACACACACACACACACACACACACTCTCACACACAACCACATTAAATCTGAATTTGACTAAGGAGCAACCTGAATGTTTTTTTTTCCTTTTGTTAAATTTTTGCTATTTCAATATTATAAGCAAAAAACTGTTATTTTGGCCAAGATATTCTTATAATCAAAATATGTTATTTTATAATCCTAATCAGCACAAATGGTAAATATGACCAGTGTATTCATTTGTGTGAACAGGGTGGCCTGGAGTATCCCAGAGTGAAGCACCTCTAAGAAGCATAATAGCACAGAACTCACACTTTCATTAAACTGTTAGTCTGAACAACAACTGATACTTTTTGCTATCTGACATAATTTCCTTAGGGAGTATTAAATTAAATTAAATCAAGTACTCTGGATACAATTTGGTTTATTTGTGATCATGATACAATATTATTCATTATTATTATTAGCAGTAGTAGTACTTGTACTTTGGATTTTATTTGAGAGCCACAGTGACTGGAGCTAATTTAACAGCTACACAAATCCCATCACAATCAGTGTTGATTATGTGGGTTTTATTGAAACTGGTAATATTTAATCTTAGAAAGATGAGGCAAAAAGAAAAAGAAAGCAAAAAAACACCCAACTTTTGTACAGTAAATTGAATTGCTTAATGCGTTGTCCAAGTATGAGGAAAAAAACAACAACAACAACAAAACAAACAAACAAAAATAAAAACCCCACTAGAGGGCAGTCAATGTCAAGTTGCTCCCTATAGAGAACAGTGAGTGTAGCTGTAGTTCACTATGTTAAATTTGTAAAGCAGCAGTCAGAAGACTGTGAAAGCCGATGCTTATTAAACCACAATGACTGTGATATTTTTAAAGATGCAATAGCCTATATTAGATTGGAGTGTAGAATGAAATATTTAATATGCTGTTTCTTTTTTTCTTTTTAATAGAAAAAAATCTTTATTGCATCAAAACAACAATGATTTAAAAACAAATATGAACCATAATAGATACATTTGTTCCAACAGAAGTTTGGAGAGTTAAATGAAATGTTGAAAAGACCCCAAAATATCATATCTGGGTTTGCTGCAACAGAAAAAATTCAGAGTATGGCCAAAGTCAGGAAAGTGTTTTGAACGGATACAGGTGGAACAGCATTCCCCTCACTGTCAATTCTACTCCCTCCACTGATTCTTTTAAAACAAGGCTCACAAAACTTTTTTTCATTGGCATATGAGACTGTCTGAATTGCCCACCGTCTCTTTTGTGGCTTTATTGACACTATATGTTTAGCACCTACAAACATGTATTTTACTTTCCATTCCCTCATGTTTTTTATCCATTTTATATTTCGCAGAGCATGTTGGTTAACATGAGTTGTTTTATGTGCTTTATAAATACACTTGAGTTGAGAACTTGAAAGAATCACTTCCAGCTGTTGGATCTTCTCAAAGCAGTTTTGTCAGAACTAAAGATGTCCTCAGCAGCACTCCGTACCTGAAAGTCAAACACATTACAGCAGATAGCTTTATAGTGTAAATGTTTTTTTTTTTTTTATTTGAACCACTAAAAACTACTGGTTTCACACTGAGGCTTTTGTAACTTCACAATACAATAGTTCATTTTAAGTTAGAACCAATTGTTAATGACTTATTAGTTTTTTCCTGCTTTTAAGGAGGAGTCAATGCAAATGTTCCATTGTCTTCTACATTTATTTGTCTGACTGCTTAGAGTATGACAGCACAGTGGGCAGGAACAGTTATACATGATGGACTACTGGACAGCACTGCTACTTTTAACTGTCTGCTGGGCAGGTGAAACTTTTTGCCGATGCTCTTATGTTTTTTTAATTTATGATAATACTTTTTTGTCATGGTTTTTTTTATTTCTGTTGGCAGGTGTTGATGGCCAGATTTTGACACAATCTGAACCAGCAGTTAAAAGACCAGGAGAATCCCACAGACTGACCTGTACAGCATCTGGGTATACCTTTGGAGACTACAGCCTGGTCTGGGTCAGACAGGCTCCTGGAAAAGGACTGGAGTGGATTGCTTACATATACTGGGGTGATGGCAGCACTTCCTATTCTCAGTCAGTTCAAGGCCGGTTTACCATCTCCAAGGACAACAGCAAACAGCAGCTGTATCTGCAGATGAACAGTCTGAAGACTGAAGACTCTTCTGTTTATTATTGTGCTCGGATCCACAGTGACAGAAGTTGTTTAAGCAGCTGTACAAAATCCTGCAGTCCTCATTATGCCACATGTATCTTGCATCATAATTGTAGTATAATGAAAACATTATCCATACTAATACTAATACAATTAAACCTAGTCCTGAGAGAGGGGATGGGCACATCATGGTCTGAAGATGAACTTATCTCCAATCTGTGTCGATATATTATCTGATAATAAGGGAGCCAAATCCTTGGAAGTTATAATGTAGTGGGAGGCTATAGTCCAACATGGGAAAGAAGATCAGGGAAAAAGACAAAATGTATAAATCCAGTTTGTGAGTCCACAGTGTTTGTCAGCGGTTGATCCTCTGGTGTTTTTTGGTTTAATTTCAGAGATGGATCTTGGGATGCTATTGTCTGCCATTCCACTCTCTGTCCCTCTCAACACTCATATTGTTGAATATGTAAGGTTCTGATGTTTTCAAATGTCTGACTCGCTCCAGTTAAACTGCAATACTGATCAGAAACTAACTTAAACAGGGCTTCACCAAAGAGGTCAGGGCAAACTGTGGATTGGACTCGGAAGATTAATCAGGTTTCAAACTTTGTGAGTGATGTGAGTTTTCTGCAGAGCTTTGACTTAACATGTGTCAACCAGTACTTTTAACCTTCAGGTCAAACACTGGAAGAACTTGCAGCAATTCTTCTGTACAAAACCTCCAGAGCACCGCCATATTCTAGATTCATTTTTAAACAGCTGCTGCTGCTGATTACTAATGTTATTGTCAGCAAATATTACTCTCAGTAACAGTCAAATCGTTCCACCGAGGACGCTATCACCATAGCGCTCCACACTGCGCTGAGTCACCTGGAGCACCGAGGAAGCTATGTGAGAATGCTCTTTCTGGACTTCAGCTCAGCATTCAATCATATCATCCCGGAGATCCTGGTCCAGAAACTTTCTCACCTGGGACTCTCCACCCCCATCTGCCTCTGGATCAAGGACTTCCTGACAAATAGACCACAGTCTGTCAGACTCGGCCCCCACCGGTCCAGCACCATCACACTCAGCACCGGGTCTCCACAAGGATGTGTTTTGAGTCCCCTCCTGTTTACGCTCTACACATCCGACTGCTCCCCTACCCATCTCTCAAACACCATCATAAAGTTCGCGGATGACACCACAGTGGTTGGACTCATCTCAAGGGGGATGAGTCGGACTACAGAGATGAGGTCAACAGACTGACTGAGTGGTGTTCAGTTAACAACCTCCAACTGAACACCACGAAAACTAAAGAACTTATCTTGGACTTCAGGAAGGGCAGAGCAGACCCGGCCCCACTTTACATTCACGGGAACTGTGTGGAGAGGGTACACTCCATCAGGTTTCTGGGCGTGCAGATATCTGATGACCTCTCCTGGACTGCAAATACTACAGCGGTGGTTAAAAAGGCCCAGCAGCGTCTCCACTTTCTGAGAGTGCTCAGGAGGAACAACCTGGAGGAGAGGCTGCTGGTGACATTTTACAGAGCCACCACAGAGAGCATCCTAACGTATGGCATAACAACATGGTATGCAGGGTGCTCAGCTGCAGACAGGAAAGTACTGCAGAGGGTCATCAACACAGCCCAGAAGATCACTGGCTGCTCTCTGCCCAGCCTGGAGGTCACTGCAAACTCTCGGTACCTCAGCAGAGCTGGCAATATCATCAAGGACCACTCTCACCCCAGCAACCAACTGTTTGAACTATTACCGTCAGGCCGACGGTACAGGTCACATAAAACCAGGACAAACAGATTCAGGGATAGCTTCTTTCCCAGAGCTATCACCGTAGTAAATAAGCACAAAAACAATTGAACCTATTCCATACCGTCACTGTCATTATATTATGCTGCTATTCATACTGTCATTATATTAATGCTGCTATCCTGTATATATTGTACATACTATTGTTTGAGTACTTACGATTGTTTTTTTTGTACTTTTTATATTTTACATTTATATTTATTATTGAAACTTGCACCAAGGGAGTGGCACTCCAATTTCGTTGTACTCTGTACAATGACAATAAAGGCTATTCTATTCTCTATTCTATTCTATTCTATTCTATTCTATTCTATTCTATTCTATTCTATCTATTCACTCACTTCAACAGCTCCACCTCCAGAGTTGACAGCAGATAGCAGCTGTTTTTACAGGTGCAGTGAAGAAATGTGAGATTAACAAATTTAACAGTTTCAGTCTTGCAAAATCCAAAGAGCAAATTAGTGACCAAAAAAATCTTTTTTGTCACAGCAAAACACTGCGCCGGTATTGGAAGTGCAAACATACGGAGCCTAGCAAAGGGCCTTGGGAGAAAAAAAAATTAAGATGAAGTTTTGCAAGATCTCGCAAAACTTTTGCAAGTAAGTAAGTAAGTCTATTTTCTCAAAAAAATAGACTGCATCCTTTGCAGGTCGTATTTGAAAGCCGAGTCGGTGCATCGTTCATGACCCAATCTATCCCAGAATTCAGCCAATTTGTTTCCAACAATGGCGGCAGCTACTTAGTTTTACTATTACTCTTTCTGAGTCACAAAATAAACTTTTAAGATATTTTCAGTTGTGAATGTAGCTGTGTAAAGAAGTTTTGGTAAAGGTTGATTTTTCTTTTTATATTACATACAAACCACCATTCATATATCCACATGGAACACAAATTAACTAACTTTTAAAAAATGGCTTTAATTTAATCCGTCTACAAGGCAAAGAAGTTTGCGATAAAGATTGGTCAGACTGGATGAATAATTGATGGATGGGTATTTATAAGAAAACAGGTTCTGTTATGTGTAATAGTTGTGGTAATAGTTTTGCAAAGTATGTTATAATATAGCAACAACTGAGATACTAGGTGGATTCAGAAGAAACTAATGCGCTAAAATTTTTAAATATTAACTTTTTGTCTGTTCAAGTCAGTGTCAAAGCTCAGTATGTGAAAAAGTATAATGTTTCACTTTCAGATTACATTTTTACTGCTATAATTGTTGTTGAAGTGACATTAAAAACTTTGCTAATTTTTAAGGTTGTGAAAACATTTTAAGACATTTGCTTACACCCAGCATTCATTCTAGCTTAACCACAAAAAGAGTTCACATGAAACCAGTCTGGTAGTACAATATGAGTCAATGCAAAATTTATCTTAAACCTCTACTTATCTGACTGCAAGGAGCATGACAGAGCGAGCAGATGTCATACAGTTTAACACGATAGACTACAAGAGAGGACTTCTGCTCTTAACCATCTGCTGGCGAGGTAAAGCTAAATGACCTTTAATTATCAATAAAATGCTGCAAAATGAATGAAACTGACTTTCATTTGGTTCCGATTTAACAGTTCATGCCCAGACTCTGACACAATCTGAACCAGTTGTTACATAACCTGGAGAGTCTCACAGACTCACCTGTACCACCTCTGGACTCTCTTTCAGTAGCAACTGGATGTCCTGGATCAGACAGGCTCCTGGGAAAGGACTGGAGTGGATTGCAACTGATACTGATGGTGGCACCAACTTCTACTCTCAGTCAGTACAAGGCAAGTTTACTGCCTCCAGAGACAACAGCAGAGAACAGCTGTTTCTGCAGATGAACAGCCTGAAGACTGAAGATTCTGCTGTTTATTATTGTGCTCGACACTCACAGTGACTGGAATCAGTGAAGCAGCTGAACAAAATCCTCCAGTGTGACTCAGACATCTGTTTTACATCCCTGTTAAGAAAACAATAATGAAATTATTATTTCATTCTAATAATTAAATTGTTGTTTTCATATTTATATTGTGTAACCTCAAAGTTATATAGAGTCAATCGTCAATCAAGTCAGAGAACAGATCAGATCAGGGAATTATCTGTAATAATCTGTCAGTCAGCAACTCGGGCACTGCAGCACAAAAAAAATCTAAAGTCAGCAACGTCTAGAGAGTTTAAAGTCTACAGCAGTTTTACGCATTGTGTATTCAGTCTGAAGTGCGCTCTTCTTGTCTGTCCACTGTTGCCAGTCAGGATGACTCCTGGAATCCTTCCAGAAACTAGATAAATCATTCACCGTCTGAGTGGTTGTGCACATCTGGATCCTGAAGATCACACTGGAAGGCTCGCCATCAAATGGAATGACCGGACTTTCCTCATGGAGCTCATAGCTCAATCAAAGACCTGACCTGTATTTGGAATAAAGGTTTATAGTCTCTATATTATATTCATATAATATATAGATTACAAATATGTTTAATTTTAAGTAAAGTTCCACTTAATATTCTCTTTTACAGTATTCAAGTGAATAATAAATTCAACAATTAAACAGCAGCTGCACTTTGCAATTACTTAACGTAACACAATTATTAGACAAATAAAATAACAAAAGTTAAAGCTTAAAGTTTCCATAGACCATACACCACAACTAAATTCTGTACAAAAAGTTATTAAATTGCAGTTGTTTCCTCATAACACTAGCAGTCCTTAGTGAAATGACAGATTCAGTAGAAAAAAGTATTTTATGCATCAACTACTATGATTAGCATCATCAAAAGTAACATCTGCAACTCACGAAGAAAATAAAATGAGTTCAACATTTAATTACTCTTGTTGATATTCTTTAACAGAGATGGTAAATAATCTAGTTTACCGAGACACATGGGACGCCATTAATTTTGCTGCCACTTCTGCTGATTTCAGCAGCTCTGCCTGACCTTCATCTCACTTTTGAGATGTTAGCCAATAACTTCTGAAACACTTTTTTAGCAACTTTTATGAAGCTTTGCTTCAGTTACAGAGGCAGTTTCTGCTAATAATAAAGAAAACTTTTTCTTTCCCTTAGTTATTTGGAACAACACTCCATGTTAATGCACAACTTCCGGCAGATCTTCAAAATAAAAGCTCCTGCTAGGCGCAGCAGGAAGTGTAGAACTCAAACACCTTTTTTTACATCATCACTTATTGTAACAATAATATAAAACAAATAAAAGAATGATTTTATAACTAAACAAATCACTTACAAATCTTATCTTATTTTAACCCATTTCGTGAGCAGCGTGACAATTTTTTGGAAAGTGTCATTAAAGCCAGTCTTGCCCTCATGTACATATATTGGCTTTGAGGATTTGTCAGACTTTTTTTTGGTATATGTGAAATATATGTTTTGGCCTGTTGAAATAAATTCTTACTGTGAAAGTTAGTAGCTGATTCTTATATATAACAACAATAATCAATTAAAAATATAAATGAGTAGAGGAGATTGTAGCAATAGATGGAGCTTCAAGACCTGCTTCATACATAAACAAGGTTTAGACATTCCAGAATCCGAGGATGGGGCATTGAGTGAGAGGCCTTCTTGTAATCAATCCAGGCAGTGCGCAGGTTCGTCACCCTAATCTTGCAGTCTTGGCTGACTGCTCTGTCTACCAGTAGGTGGGGTTTTGCGCCTTTTGGCATTCTTGCCAATCCCTTTCTGTGCCCCACTCATGTATTGACCCATGTACCTGTTCATCTTAGCCGCTATGATGCCTGAAAGGAGCTTCTATGTGGTACTGAGGCAGGGTATTGGCCGGGACCAGTCCCTTCTGGTGGTCTTTGAGGATCAGGACTGTCCGGCCTTTGGTTAGCCATTCCGGGTGTCTCTCGCCAACTAGCAGCTGGTTCATTTGTGGTGCCAGATGCTCATGGAGTGAAGTAAGCTTCTTCAGCCAGTAGGCGTGAACCATGTCGGGGCCTGGTGCTGTCCAACTCTTCATACTGGAGAACCTATGTCTGCCACTGTGATGGTTACTGGATCCTGTTCAGGGAGGTTGCTGTGGTCTGCTCTCAGATCCCTTAGCACATATGCTCTTCCAGTATTGCTCTGTCTCCAGCCTGTTCTCATAGGGTTCCCTTGCCACTGAGAGTACACCTTGGCTGGTTCTATGGAGAACAGCTGATTTATTCTCCCGCCTGCAACCTCTCTGGTGTACCTCTTCAAGCAGCTGGCTGTGAGTCTTTGCTTGGCAGTTTCCAAGGCCTCTGGTATGGACAGCTTACTGTACTTCTTAGGCACCTTCTGTGTCACACTTTGCCACACCTTTCTGCAGCTTTGATAGATGGCTAACTTCCCTCCGTGCTACCTTGATCTTAGCCCCTAGTCTTCTTCTCCATGGAGAGTACTGCCAAGCATCTCACTTATCACTGCTGCTGTAGTGTAGATCAGCTGATTAGTCTTAGGTATTGCTGTATTCACATCTTCTGAGGGTACTTCACGTAGTCTTCGTAACCGGCTGCAGAAGATCGAGGAGAGGAAGAAGAAATGTTATGTTTAAAGGTTTGGAATGATTTGAAAAATTGCAAATTTAAAGTATACATGTAAATCCAAAACAGGACCTTTATATGATGTGAAGTTAGGGTTGTTTTTAAGGTTCTTGTCAAGGGGTTGACATTTGTAAAAGCACAGTAAGAGAGAAATGAGACACTGGCAGACCGACTCAGAGTTTCAAAGACGTGCGCACGGGTGAGAGTCTCTGAGCAGACTAACACACCGAGCACCGTTTACTCGCTTTATTTATAAGGCAAAATGGGTTACATAGTACTTCCTCTTTCAACTGAAGAGGGGAGAGCTCAGGCATTGTCTTAGCTATCTAACTTCTGCACACAAACTGAAAAACAACGACACAGCAGTATTCATGCTTATCTGACATCGCAGACACTGAAGTAAAGAATGCATGTATATCCTGTCTTTGTCAAACATCTCACACACTTAAGCAAGGAATACATTGTGTTCTTTTCAACAGTAAGCTTTACCGTGTGAAAATATATAAACACTTGATTATAAGGCATACTTGTTTCTACTTGATTATACTTTAATGATTTAACTAAAATAAAAATTCTCTTAACATTCCCTCCTGATGTTAATATATTTCACATATTTTACTCAATGCATAGTCACTTGTTAGTCACATTTTCAACTTGCACGTCATTCAGTGAAATAATTAAACAACAAGCTTGTCAAGATTGTCATAGAGATTTTCTTCTCTCTCTCTCACACTCAGCATATCATACTGACGATAGGGATCCTCCATAACTGACTGAGCCAAGACATGGTTTCCTAACATACGCTTGAACATGTTTGTCATTATGCTTCTCAGACATGGGATAATACAAGCAATGAAAAGGCAAAATAGTAACATCACACTGAAAAGGGCCAACAGGCCTTTAATCAGTAGAGATTTCCAAGAGCCGCTCAGCAGCCAGTCCCACCAACCTTGAGTATCGGTAACGTAGTCCTGCTGCTGAGCGTCTCTCAGTTGTTTCAAAACATTCAAAGCATTTGTCATGTTTAATGAATGGATGTTATCAGGTATGTAGGTACAACATGTAGTGTTAAACAATACGCAGAGACCACCTTTCTCTGCGAGAATGATGTCTAAAGCCACTCGGTGCTGCATGACAGTGATGCGAATTGCATCAATTTCTTCATTCTGTCCTTGATTAATGCGGGTTGAAGCATTTAAAAATAATCCAAAACGATAGTCCAGGGTTTCTATCTGTAGTGCGTGTTTCCCTACTCCTATCCATGGAAACAAAGCGTGTATTACCTTCTGGCTCTTGGTCCAGAGTTTGAAGTCATCTGGTACATCAGAACCAAGATATGGATCATGGGGCTTGAGGCCTGTGTTACGTTTAGCTCTGGTGTTGCTGTTCACTGACATCTTAAAGGTGTGGTCAGATACCAGAACAGGGGCACAGAGTCCGGTGCTGTTTGGTGGCAGCATGAAATAGACTTTCAGGCCACACGCCCAAGCTGCGCCCTGTACCCAGTATGTACCTGTTGATGAGCCGATGCCATCCCAATCTGGTGCCGCCAGGATCATGGAGCAGTTTCGGTTTTGTCCTAATTTCTTCAGACCCTGGGGCGTACCTGTTTGTCCGGTTGCTCCTGTGAAGTTAAAGCACACTGGGTGTTGTATGTCAGGTGGCAAAACAACTGAGAATGATTTCAGTTTTCTATGGCTGACGTTTATATGCACCCAGTGGGCTTCATTGCAGGTGTAGTTTATATTTGGGTACTGTTGGGTGCAGTTTGTAATGTTATATATCAGTGACTTCACACTCTGTGGGACTATGTATTGTGTTGTATCGTGGCATGTGTTGCTGTTTTGGTCCTTTATGGATCCACCTATCACCATCACAGGTTTTCCTGGTGTTGATCAGGTCCCGGTAATGGCTTTGTCATATATGCAGAGTGCTTCAGCCTTGGTTCGGGGTTTTCCATACACTGTGGCATGGAGTGCTGTCGTGGGCATATGTGAGCAGACATAGCAGTTTGTGGCATTGTCTTCTCTGTGCACTCTGTCATGGACATACCGGTACCATGCATTGTTCAGCCACGGGTGGTTGTGTTCTTTGTCTATCTCCTTCAGGTGCGAGTTGTCGTGGGTCCACCTCTTAGGTCGGAGAATAATTGGTACTGTCTTGTGGGTTCCACTGGGCATCAACCAAAAGAGTGTCGTCATCAGGAGGATAGCCATTAGACAGAATATGTAGCACATGAGTAGTTTTCGTTTGATGTCACAAGCGCCCAAGCACAACAGCTTTGGGGCTGGAACTGGTGCTAGCATTGATTCTGAAGCTGGTTCTTCTTCTGGATTTATCAGGTTGTTTTCCTCAGTCATCTTGTTGAGATTTTATTCAGGCGTCCCTGGTGTTATTATTGGTTCTGCTCTTCGGTGGGATAGGTCAGTCTGATCTTCAGGGCGACCAGGCACACCCGAGCTCCCACGTGAGTAGCACTGCCGAGGAAGCACAGGGCGGGAAACCCGTTCAGCCCTGTCCTCCAGCAGGGGTTCATGTAAGAGTCAGGGGAACCGGCGTCTTATTGTGGTGCAAACACTTTCTTCACGTGGGATTGATGAATCCACGAAACTCGTTCGGCTATCTTACACGCTGTGGGTGTGGTAAGTAGCACCTGGAAGGGACCTTCCCACTTTGGAGCACTCCAGTTTTTCCGCTGGAGGACTTTAATCAGAATCCAATCACCGGGGTTCAACCTGCAAGAAACTGAAGAAAAGTCACTCGGCAGTTGATTGCTTAATCTCACTTCTTTATTCTCAAATAGTTTTGTCATCCATTCTGCCATTGTTGTTTCTGCAATAGATTTATTAATTGGCTCACTCATTATGGGGAGTGGAAAATGTCTGCCATGTACGATTTCAAATGGCGTTAGACCACCTGTTCCTTGAGTTATTCTCATCCATAATTTAACCAAGCTTAGACATTCAGGCCAAGGTTTTTTAGTCTCTTCCATACATTTCCTCAACCTTTGTTTAATTGTGCCGTTAGTTCTCTCGACTAATCCTGCACTTTGTGGATGATAAGAACAGTGATGTTTTATGCTGAAGCCTAAAGCTTCAGAAACTTTACTTATTACTTCATTTACAAAATGTGTGCCATTGTCTGATCTTATCAGAGATGGAATACCGTACGTTGGAATAAAATGATTACATAGACATTTTGCTACTGATATTGCATCTGCTTTTTTCACTGGGTATATTTCTGGCCACTTGGAAAATACATCAATTATCACAAGTGCATATTTGGAGGATTGTGATTCATTTAATTCTATGAAATCCATGTGGACAGTGTGAAATGGATGCGGTGGTATAGGGAAATGCCCTCGCTTTGGACGTAGATTTCCCTGTGCGTTGTGTCTTTGGCAAATCATACATGTTCTGATAAACTCTTGTGCTGAACTTTCAAAATTTTTTGTATAGAATTGTTTATTAAGAATATTAATCATCCCTCCTGATGACACATGAGTTTTCCCATGTGTCACTAAAGCAGCAGTTCTATGCAAAGATTTTGGAAGCACTGGTTTGCCATTACACATCATGAGGTTGTCTTTTAATTCTGCTCCATCTTTCACCCAAGATTTTTGTTCACTCAGCGATGCTGTTTTCTGTGCATCTGCTAGTATTTCTAAAGGTATTAGATCTATGGTTTCTGTTGTTAAAACATCAATTTGTTTTTCTGCAGCTGCTTTTGCTGCTTTGTCAGCAAAGTTATTTCCTCTCGTAATTTCTGTGTCATCCTTTTGATGAGCTGCACATTTGCATAGTGCTAATTCTTTTGGCAACGTTATTACTTCTAATAGCTTTTTTAGAAGGTTTGCATGTTGAACTGTGTTGCCTGAGGAAGTTGTCATTCCTCTGTTATGCCATATTTTAGCGAAATGATGAACTGCTGAATAGACATATTGACTGTCTGTGTAAACATTAACACTTTGACCCTTATACAAAGTACATGCTCTGATGACTGCGGTTAGTTCTGCGCTTTGAGCAGAGTTTGAGGAGCTGAGAGCTTTTGCTTCTATCACTTTATCAACAGTTGTGACCGCATAACCCACACAATTTCTACCGTGAATGTCTTTTGACGCTGAGCCGTCCACAAAAACATTACTGAAACTGCTCTGGGGGAGCTGTATATATCAGTGCGAGGTTTTGTATCTTCCTCTAATTTTTGAATGCAACAGTGTTGTTCTCCGTCCAGAGAAATCGGCAAAAGTGTACTTGGGTTTAGCTGGCCACACTTCTCTATTTTTATGTGTGATTGTGTAAGTAGAATCCCCACATAAGAAAGTTGTCTTGCATGCGTGAGGAAAGAGAGGTTCGCTTGGAGCAAAATAGAGGTCACTGCATGTGGGACTTTGATGATCAATTTATGTCCTAGAACAATGTCTGCACATTTTTTAACTGCCTCTGCTGCTGCTGCGCATGCCTGA